ACTTACCCGCGGTTGGGGCCCTTGGGGATGAACCAGGGCACCAGGAGGCCCACGAAGCCCCAGAACACGCTCATGACGATCAGCGGCACCGTGAGGCCGTGGTACGCCATAGTGGCCGCGAGCCGCCCGCCCTGCCCAGCCGGCCCGCCGCTCGCCCTACCCGGAAGTGTCAACAGCCGGCCGCGTGACCGCACGCAAGCCCCGCCCGCCCCACGTGACCCGCGTCCCGACTCCGCCCCCCGGCCCAGAGCCCCGCCCTAACCCGCCTGTCAGAGCTGCAGATCCTTAGAGCCAGGGAAAGCGCCAGCCTCCTGGGACGCAGCAAAGTTTTCTAGTTAAGAACTTAACTTTTAGGCAGAGGGTTGTTATTTACAGATTTACCTTCTTTTTTTTCAATTTTTTTTTTTTTTAGTTATCAACGGACCTTTATTTTTATTTATGTGGGGTGCTGAGAATCGAACCCAGGGCCTCACACATGCGAGGCAAGTGCTCTACCACTGAGCCCCAGCCCCAGCCCCATCTACGTACTTACTAAGCAACAAAGAGAGGGCTTAATGATAATACATGGCTGTTTAGAGTCCAGGGTACTGGACTGGCTATGAGCTGTAACTGCATGAATTCTTTTGAATTCCTCACTACTTATGTGAGTTAGTTGCAACTATTGTCCCCACTTTGCAGTTGAAGAAACGGGCTCAGGGAGGCCGTTAAGGGCTTGCCCAAAGTTAGTTACTCCACAGTAAAGGCCAGAAGTCAACGTCTGATAGCTGGTTCTTAAGGCCAGCACTTCTTCTCTACTGTAAGTCTTGCGCACTGTGCCAGGTTCTGGGATTATAGACCTCCATCAGACACCCCTCAGGGAGTTCACATTCTGGGGAGGAGATGGACCTGCAAACAGGCCACTCAACGTGGTGTGAAATTAGAGTGGCCGATGGCATCTACTCCTTCCAGCTTCCAGCTGGGCTTTGAAGGAGGCTGAGGAATTAACCAGAATGGTAAGGAGAAGATAAATGTAGAGTTTCCAGTGCTTGCCAAGGAAAGCAACAGGCATGTTGACTATAGTGTTCTACAACCCTGACAGCGAGGAAACCATCTCCTGGAGACATTGAGCTTGATAAAGCTCACACACAGAAGCAAGGTGGAAAGCAGATCTATCAACTAAGCCCATTGTGCTTCACTGTGGACCAGTTTGCCTGCAATAGCCACATTTCTTTGCCCACACATTACCATCTGCTTTGCTTCTGCATCAAGTACAGTGAGTTCTTGAATTATATGGGAATTTGGACCAATAATCTTCAATATCTGCATCAACTTATCAAGCATGACTTTAAGCCTTTAACTGACCAGAAATGTAGGAAACTAGTGAGTATTATTTGTGCTCATATAACTCCCGGAAAAAACAGCCCAGAAGAAATTCTGTTGTCCTTAAGTTCCAGTCCAAGAACCTCCTTATCCAAGACTTATTTCCTCCTGTTAGCATATCTTTTTAAGTTTGTGTATGCATTTTATCCAACCCTCTCCTCCTTCAGAACAGACGTTGTTAAACTGATCTTTATTTCTGGGAGCACATAAGACATAGAAGGTGCTCAATACATGTCTTAACTTTCGGTAGCTATGTCAAAGTGCCTGGAAAAAATGAACTTACAGGAGGAAAGGTTTATTGTGGCTCATGGTTTTAAAGGTTTCAGTCTGTGATTGGCTGGATCCATTGTTTCTAAGTCTGTGATGAGGCAGAACATCATGGCAGAAAGATRTAGTGGAGCAAAGCTACCCACCTCATATTGTAGCAACTGGAAGTGCAGAGAGAGCCAGAGATGTGGGCAACATAGTCCCTAAGAGCATACCCCCAAGGACCCACGCTATGTCCCACCTCCCACAGGTTCCACCACCTCCCATTAGCCCATTAAAATTCTGAATCTATCAGGTTAGAGTCCTTATGGTCCAATAATTTCCTAAAAGCTTATTTTTGGGGGACAAAGCTTTCAACATATGAGCCTCTGCTGAACATTCCAGATCCAAACCATAACAATAAACAATTGTGCAACTAAATTGAATAGGCAAGAAAAGGTGAGATCACTAGGTGTGGTGGCACACACCTGTAATCCCACCTACTTGGGAGRCTGGCAGGAGGATCAAAATTCAAGGCCAACCTCAACATTTAGCAAAAYCCTGTCTCAAAAAATACAAAGAGCACTGGACACCGTGGCAGACACCTGTAATCCCAGCAACTCAGAAGGTTGAGGCTGGAGGATCACAAGTTCAAGGACAGCCTCAGCAATTTAGCAAGGCCCTAAGCAACTTAGCAAGACCCCATCTCAAAATGAAAATGAAAAACTAAAGCCAGGGTACAGTTCAGTGGGAGAACACACCTGGGTTCAATTCACAGACTTGCCAAAAAAAAAAAAAAAAAGTGAGATCAGCCAGAACTGACTTAAAGAAAGAAGTCCACTCTAACTTTCTTTCACATTTCTTTCTCCTCCACACCCACCCTGGATTTTGGTACCAGGGATTGAACCTCACACATGCTGGGCAAACTTCTTACCACTAAGCTATAGCTCTTTTTTATTTTTTTAACTTTGAGACAGCGTCTTGCTAAATTGCCCCCGACTGGCCTTGCACTTGTTATCCTCCTGGGATGACTGCTTCGTGTACACTTAAATTCTAGTAAAATAAGCATAATATAAAATTGACCATCTTAATCATTTTGAGCATTCAACTAATTATACTCACATCGTTGTGCAAGTGATCTCTAGAAATTTTTCATACCAATTAAATATTCCCCTTCCCTTTTCCCTCCCCATTTTACTTTCCTTCTCTGTGAGTTTGACTCCTCTAGGCACTGAGTGGACTTTCATGCCATCTGTCCTTTTTTTTTTTTTTTTTTAAAGAGAGAGTGAGAGAGGAGAGAGAGAGAGAGAATTTTTTTTTAATATTTATTTTTTAGTTCTCGGCGGACACAACATATCTTTGTTGGTATGTGGTGCTGAGGATTGAACCCGGGTCGCACGCATGCCAGGCGAGCGCGCTACCGCTTGAGCCACATCCCCAGCCCCAGCCATCTGTCCTTTTGTGATTGACTATTTCACATAGCATGGCGTTTCCAAGACTCATCCATGTTGTGCAAAAAATTTTTTGTGACTCCATCTCTGTAATGTCCTCAAAATGTCCTTTATTGAAGCTAAATAATATTCCACTGTATGCCTAGACCAAATTTTGCCTATCCCTTCATCTCTTGATGGACCTTTGGTTCACTTCTGAGATGGATAGGCTGCTGGAGAGAGAGAATGAGCCCCTTACTAGATGAAGACCAAGATCTCTGAGCATGATCAGCCATGTTTGTCTTTTTAGTTAGATGAACAAAACCTCCAGCGAATGCTTGTACCAGATCAACTAGAACTAAAACATAATTTAAATGTCAGCAGATTCAAAGATCTACACAATGCACCCCAAAATGATTTATGGCTAGACTGCTTAACTAGGAGAAACATTCTAAACCTCAAATACCAAATGATTGACATGAGATTTGATTTTCACAAAAAATTTGCCTAGGAACCGGCAATTTTCTTCTCAGGAAAATCCTATATTCATTTAAAAAGATGAACGCTAGGAGTATCCCCATCTTCTCTGAGAGGTGGGGAGCATCTGCACCTAGCCTTGAGGTATGTATACCTTTGCTTTGCTGTCCTTTAATAAATCTTTGCTTGTGCCTTGCTTTCAACATGTTCTGAAACTTGTTTCAATGGTGTAAGTCAAGAACCCCCTTGGGCCGACTTGAGATCCCACTGCCCCCTTGGAGGGACCTCATTGGAGGTTTGGTGACACTTCCATTATATGGCTATTGTGAATTCTTTCACACTTCTTAAATAAATGCCATTTTTTTTGCTTTAAAATATTTTATTGAAATTTTTAAAATAAAATCATGTGCTTGTATAAGACAAAACATAAGCAAATACTCTCTACTTAATGTTAGAGTCCCCAAAATTCTAGCCAGTTTTTTRTGCTTCGTAGCTGCTCAGTTTAATACAGGCAAGATGTTATGTTCATAGGAACCGCCCAACATCAAAGCATCCTTTGTGTCAGCAAAATCCATAGCAACCAGGGAGAATGAGTTGCTCTCCACTTGTCATGACAGCCTGAGGATGCAACAGCAGGAATCTAAGCATCCCAACAGTGTCCAATGGGGTAGATCCCAAAACCTTAAGTTTTCAGTCTTCAGGTTAGCACAGAACTTCTGTGTAGGGTCACTGCCCCTAGCTGGGCTTGCAGAACTCTCATGCTTTATTTAAGGATTACACACCAATGGACGTCTTAAAACCCCATCTCTGCGTACACTGAGGACCTGCCAGCGAGGATCAGGGGCCTGCAGGTGGGTTGCTACACCAAAGGTGTGCCCAGCGCCTTCCCAACACTGAACGGATCGGCAGGTTCCGMGGAATACCTAAATGCCATTTTTTTTTTCATGACTCCATCTCTGTAAGAAGAGTGTCTAACCTTAGCCTTGCTATCTAGGTTTAAGAAGCAGGAGCCAGCTGGGTGGAGTGTTGCATGCCTATAATCCCAGCAATTTAGGCAGAAAGATAACAAGTTCTAGACCAGCCTCAACAATTTAATGAGACCCTTGCAATTTAGCAAGATCCTTTCTCAAAATTTAAAACAAGAAAAATGTGGGGGGAGCCGGAGATGTATCTCAGTTCAACTCTCAGTACTGGAAAAAAAAAAAAAAAAGGAGATGTTAGTGAGCTAAGGGACACATCTCTGTAGACACCAGTTTTGCCTAAATCTATTCCTTTTATCCTCTGTGAAATGAGAAGTCCTTAATCTCAGCATTATATTTGTGGGCTAGCATTGGCCAAGAGCTCCCTCTATCAGTCAATCTACCAAAAATATTTGATCACATTCTCCAGATGAAAATTAGGTAATGTCAGGAACTGCGATTCAGTGACCTACAGAATGGACCAATACCTTCTGTCTTCCAGAGGCATGAAGTCTTCAGGGAATAAATCCAACTGGGAGCAGTGTGATCCTAGGACCCTGGGGACCCAAGGACCTCTCCTTTCCAACAGTGAATCTGTGTGATACTTCATCCAAAACAAAATTTTGCAACAGATTGCATGCAGAAGCTTTGTGAGAATATATTATCTTCTATTAAGCTAGACATTGGGGAATTTTGCAAAA